TCTCTGTTTTTAAAGTGAATCTTCAAAAGACTAAAAGCTCGCTTTTTTTTGTGAGATTTCACTGTCTTAGAGTGAAATTTCACTGCAAGAAGTTTATAGTGTGATGGATATTTTTGCGCGTTTTTATCTAAAGATTCTGAAGCATAATAGTTCCGCAAAAATAACGTTTTTGTGATAAATCATTTGAGAAAATCAGATGACGCGAGCTTAGAAAAGTCAACAAAGTGATTATCATCGCGAGAAACAGAGTCCATTTTAATGCACATATCTTTTCCATTATCATCACTTGTTTACAGAGAAATCACGTGATTACGGATTGTATAAATGATTCCACAGATCAAACTGGTAAACACTGGTAATTAATGCAGAAATAGCTTCCATACATTTAAAACACAGAGATCCGAACTATGAAAGATAAATTTTCTTTAATGACTAAAAGGGTAAAATAATTTTAACTGACTAGATTACTATATTTAATCAATATCATATATCAGGTAATTACTACATTATTTGGATACTAACTACAAAAATAGGTAAAAATATAATGTCTTAGTACTCTTAGTGAATTTATTAATTTTTATCTACATATATTCTGAGTGCATTTATTAGAGAAGTATTGAACTTAAGTTTATCGAAGAAAGTTACCGAGACCTTTTAATGACCGTGATAGTTAATGAACTTACAAATCTTTTTAATTGCACATTTAATATTATTAATTGCATTTTATCTCGACTAAAGTTGATTTTTTGAAAAAAATGATGAATGTTTCCAGTTATATTTTTTTATTTATTGTAGAATAAAAAAATTTTATTTTTCATTTAATATAATAAGTTAATATAAAAACCAAAAACGTCATTTGTATATCATTAAAAAATCCTGCGCGTGATTCATTATATTATGTGTATATATGTATATATAATTGAGGAAAAAAATTGTCTGTAGGATTTGCCAGGTGCCATATATGTATACTTTCAAAGTGCTTACGTCAGATTCCAAATAGAATTATCACATAAGAGAAATCGAGAATTAGTATAAGCGTTGCAGAGAAAGAAGAGAAAAGATCATTTTGTTTTCCTTCAGCAATATTAATTCTGCATTACAAAGCGTAATCATACTTAAATAACTCCAAGGAATGATCATTCGCCATTTAAAACATTAGAAGCCTTTTTTTATTTATATAAAGACACGTGAAATTAAAACATTTTTTATATGAAAAGCTGAAAATGTGATATAAACTTTATACGTATATGTACTTTGCCAATAATGTAATAACTACATTAAATAAATTTTTAACGATGTTTTATATTTTAACACGTAATAGATATTTCTCAGAAATTTATGTAGAGATTTTTACCTTGTAACAGAATGTTTGTAAAAAAATCCCGTCACTCTCCAATTTTTATAAATTTTACTTTAAATATATAATAATAAAAATTTGTAACATAATACGTATTGCACATATATTATAATTATAAAAAAGTTAAATATTTTTTTATACAACGTACAAGAATAAATATATGAAGTCTTTTTTTATTGTTTATGTACAATTTTAAGTAATATATTAAAATAATAACATTTATTAGTACTTAAAGTAAAAAAATTACATTAATTTATATTATAAGGTTTCTGTTTTTTAATACCCCTAAATAATGATTCTTATGTATAATATTTTACCCCGTAAAGTAAACGAAAAGAAATTGTAAATTATTTAAATTTGTAACATATTTTCAAAAATCATGTCCTTCATTTTCTCTGTAGGCAATAAAACTTTTTTAATTTTATGTTTCTTTTGGTAGCTAATAAAAGTCCAGTGTGGAGAAACAGTAAATTAATGTTATTTGAATTATAGAATTTAAAAAAGCAAATTTTTTTTCTTTTCTTTAACATTTATTGTGTATGATTTAGATTTTCTTTATTTCACAAAGTACTTTAATTATTTAAATTTTCAACACTTATGCGAACTTAAAAAATAAAAGGTAAATTATTAAAATCTCACATACTCAAATTCTATTCAAAGTCAGCTTTGTATAAATAGAGCGAAACTTTTAGCATGAGATATATTAACTTCTAGCTTGGAACAAATAGAGCAGTGCAATGTTGTTTTTCAAGAATATGTCCTCGTCACTAATTTAAATCATACGTAGAAACACTTCAATTGAAGTTAGAACTGTTTATCTCGAATTATATCGACAAGGTGTTGTAATCAATGTTTTCAATATTCGAAAGATAAATCGCGAGGTATCATCTTTTTATTGCTTTACTTTACAAAAAACTTAATGACTATTTAGACTTCTTTATCTTTATATACGATCGTTTCCAGATTTGTTATCAGAATATTAATTAATTAAATTAACGAAGCGATTGCTAATTTGCAATTTATATACATATAATGTCACAAATTTTAATACGTGATAATATTCAGTTTGTAGTCATGCTTTTATCAGATTATAAATGCGTACCTATGTAGCCTATATAAATTTCGTTCCTTTAAATCAAACAATGATTAAATGATTTGATCATTCTATGAGACTTATGTAAATAAGCAATGCGATATTATTTGATTTTTTAAATGGGTCAATTAATGTTTTCTTAAACACAATGCAATTTATATCTTGATTATAATTATATCATTATAACATATGACCTCGTTTTTTCTTAGTTTTGTTAACTCAGGAAATTGGAATAAAATTTTTAAGCGATAATTCTAACTATATATAAGTCAGATTCATTTTTTCATGAAATAATACTCAAAGTTCCTCGTTTATTTCAGCATTGTAAAACATGTTTCATCAGTTATCGCATAACCGCGACGCAATCACGAACGTACTAGCCTCAATTCACGTTTATTTGAATAACACATTGAACCATGCACTTCCGGACTCAAGCAAATCGACTAACATTGTATTATATATAAAACGATAAGAACTATATAATCGAATTAGATATGAAAATCAACATAAGTCATACGATGACTTATGTTAAAAATAGCGCACTTTTTTTTTAAATATCCAACGGATATAAAACTTTGCTGATTACAAGTAACACCTTTGACAGTAAGGAAAATAAATGTTATCTGTACTATGCGGTACGCGGATATAAAAAAATTGTAGATAAGCTATAGATAAACGAACAAATTATCATGTCGGAATAAAAACTATGCATAGATACACACCCATCATTCAACTAATAATTTATTAAAGCAGCGAAAGAAATATATTTCGATTATTTTTATATTCAATCAGAGAGAGAAATAGTTGTTTTATTTTTCACTCAATTTATTTTTAATTAATATTTAGAACTTATAAAAAATAAATAAAACTCTAGTTTAAAAAAAAGATTATATTTTAATGAAGTTATAAAAAAGAATTTTTGTATTTCTTGATAATAAGCAAATAATTCTAAAATATATTTAATTTTTATAAAATGAAGATTAAAATATATAATATTTAAAAATTGAATATATAAATGCATTTTAATTAAGGTTGTCATAATAGATTAATTATGTAATTTTATTATCGCTACTTCCGTAGAAGATACTTAGTTAATAATCATATTTCTTTATCACATTTGAAAAATGACAGCACATAGCGTGACATCGAAAATGGCAGTTAAAAAGTGCTATTAGTGTAGTAATGATGTAAAAAGCAATTAAAAATATCTCAATCTTTTTTCATCGTCAATTCTTTATCGTTGAAAGAAGTTGTAAGATATTCATATTTGTGACTATTTTATATATACTTTGTAAGTGAATAATATTTTACATTGGTAAAAATGATAAAATATTTGATGTGAGTTGTTATCTGCACATTATAAAAAATAATTTTATCGCATATATGCTTATATGTCGCAAAATTGTGCGATTATACGCCAAATAGCAATATGTGTTTACATAACGCAAATGGCATCTAATAAATCAGGCAGTTAACAAATTTACAAATTGAAAGCTATTATTTATTATTAGAACTATTAGTTGATAATATATTTCTGACAACAAACACACACATGATCACACTTTCGCAGAACATTAAATATTGAATGACGTCTGCTAAGAAAATTATTTATTACTGGAACATTGAGTTAAATTTGAAACTTTGAAAAGAATTTTTACAGATAATTTTTAGGAAATATGAAAAAACCAGCAAAATGATGTACGATCTCATAAATTATAGTTATCGAATATTTCGCTATTCGCACTTTTTTTCAGTTATAAATTATTTTGAATTGCGTTCTGTTATTTACTGCGAGTACTGAAAATCTGTAATTCACGTTACGTATATTACAGATTTTCAGTATTTGCAGTAAATAACGAATGCAGCCATGATCAAAAATAAAACTCAATTTTTTTTAAGCGATATCTTCGAAAATGTATTAATGTTTTTAATCACTAAATACTAATTTAATGATTTTATATTTATATTTTACAATTATATATATGCACATTATATAATTAAATCTTTAATTGAAAAAAGAATTCCTTTAAATAATTGATTTAAAAAAAATGTTTCTTATTTATAGAAGTAATTACTAAAATAGAAATAGAAATATACTAATAACAGTTTTGTTATTTATTTAATTTTCACAAATTTAACACATTTATATAGTTACCGATCTAATGTTTAAACCAATGATATGTAAAAAAAATGTGACAGTCAATCGAACCGAGGGATAATTTGACTTCAAATTGATTGAATAATCCGGAAAGTTATGGGCAATTATAGCATTTTCAATATAAAAGCACATTTGATCGTTTTATCATTAACGGTACAAATACAAAATGCGTCACACATGCGATCCCCAGCAACGCAGTAGTGCTTTGCTTACTCCGAGGTACGGTGGACGGGAAAAACAAACGTTGCACGTGGTCGGCGAGTGGCCGCGCGTGTCTTCCACCCTTTTCCCCGCATTTACTTTTCCTACCATCCTATCTCAAATGCGTTGGCCTGCATACGGGTATAAAAGCGAACGCGCTCCAACAGAACGGGTTAGTACCTCTCGCGCAACGTACGAACGTATCGAGAGTTCATTCTTCCTGTGCAAGTTCTTTTGTAAAACTACTGAAATTTAATCGTTAGAACAGTGCTTCGATTGTAAGTCTTCGAGTGAAAGATTCTTGTGCTCAAGTTTTGTTGAGTGATTTTGAAAAAATAAACTTGATTAAGGTGGTTATGCCGGTGGAATTGGAATCGATGGCGCCTATCGCTCATAAAACCATCTCCCATAATGGGTAGGCAATTATTTGATTTTTATACGCACTTTAATTCGTCAACTACCTTCTTTATTGTACCAACAGCTAGGAGAATGCATTGCATTGATTTTTCAGGAATAATATGCACACAATATATAATACAATTTATCAAATCGAATTCGTCATAATTGCAGAAGAATCTAAATTATTTTTAAATAGTATTAGTACTTTTTTTGCAAGACATACTATAATAGAGTTTTGTACATTTCATATATGACAAATAAAATAATTTATGAATCAAAAAATAGAGTAGAAATAAAATACATATTCTAAAATACATAACTTATATTTAGCTTTTATTGCAATATTTTTGAAATTTAGTGTAAAATTTACTGCATATATGCATGCAAACGTATAAATATATATGTTTGGCAAAAGCAGTATTAAAACGTCAAACTTTCTATATTATTCTTATATTACTTTTTATATTTAAAAAAAATAAAAAGTTATATTGCTGATATATGACATGTCTTTTAATTTTATTTAAATTCTCAGTTGGTTTAAATGAAAGTACAAATATAGATGTGTGTGTCACGCATTTCTTGATTGTTAAACAATATTTACAAGTACTTTACGTGCAAAAATGTGCTTCCAAGTATCCGATCAGAAAAGATTCGAACAGCTGATCCACAAGTTTAACAGGTTTCCTCATGCCAGGCATGTGTTTGGCATTAATGACACGCTTCTATCAATTTTAATATCATCGTCGCACTGTTTCTTAAGTAATTTAAAAGAAGAAAGAAAATATGTCAGTATTAATTAATTAAGTGCTAACTAAGCATTTTTCCCATTGATCACAGTCTCTTATAACAGATCTCTTTATTTCACTGTTACAGAAACTATTTCAACCGGAAAAATGTCATATTATTAATGTTTTCCGCATATTTCCCGAGTCTTCTTATTAAGCTCTATTAGAGTTAAATGAGGCTATAACAGATCCCTTTTATCTATATAATATTTTTCAAATAAAATTTTTAATAAAAATAAACTATATGCATAAAACAAATGTTTTTACTTATAAAAAGAGAAACAGTTATAAATAAAATCTAAATTCAAAATATATAACAAAACGAGTAAAAAGCTCTTGCTCCGAGCCCTTAATTATTTACATATATGTTCTGTATATTACTTTCTTTTGGAATATAAATACACAATTTTCCTGAATTATTTTATTGGTAACGCTTTTTTTTTTTTTTTCACTTAAAATAATTCACTTTGCGAATTGTCACTTCCACTTGTAATACCTATATTTTAATTCTTTTTATATATGTTGTATATTTATTGTATATTATTAATATATAATTAATATAATTCTCTGTAACACTAAATAAATGTATTAGATAGTAATTGTATAGATATATATGTAATTACGTTGTGTATTATATACAAAATTAATATTGCATCTTACAATGCAACATTGCACTTATTACAAAAAAAATTTAATTCAAACATTGACATCTAATTTAAAATATAGCGTCATAAAAATGCACTATATAATTAACGAAATATTATAATGACTCTCGACACTTTCAAATTAACATAATTTTGATCATAATAGAAGGAAGATCTTCCTAACTGTAGGATATTATTTAAAGAATACTGTAATTTATGGCAATTATCTATGTTATACATTATAAGATGCATAAGGAAATTATTATTTTTGTATTAAACATAATATTACATGATATTCAGTAACAACAAATAATATAAAAAAATATTATAGTTGAGAAGAAATATCTTTCAATGACAAAAGTTTCATGTTACTGATGTTACCGATTTGTGTTATAGAGAGAAGATGAATAAACTGTGCCGTCAACTCTCGATCGAGAGCCCAAGCGTGACCGGTCGGGATTGTGTCTTCAGCTTCGATGTCCCCGTGCCGGATGTGCCGGCGCATGGTGCTCGCATCCGGGTGATGTGCGCTGGTGCTTGTTACCATCCTCGACGATCACCGAGTCTGACCAGTTTGACCTCGGTCTCGAGTGGCAGTAGCCTGGCCGCCGATATATCCGTAGAGAGTGATTACCCGGTGTTCATACCTCATCACGGGGTACGCGACGCTGCTCTGTTCCCCGGATACGAAGTGGCTGGCGTAATCGAATCATTTGGCACCGAGGTACCCGAAGACCGTGAACTTGCTGTAGGCGACCGCGTTATTCTCTACCCCTATGATGGCATTCCCAATGGTTACGTCGAATATCTAGTGGTGTACGACCTCAAGTACCTGATCAAGCTTCCGGACAATATGTCACTTAGCGTGGGGGCTATGTTGCCAGCCGGCGCACTTCTCGCTATGAACACCGTCTTCGCTGCACACGAACACGTGCAGGTACAGATATGCAATCTTTCATATTGTTGTATCCTACTTTTGTTAAATTCAATTAATCAATACACTTTAAAAGTGTATACATTTAGAATAAATTATCGGGCAAAGCTAATACTTCAGAAACAAATTTCTCTTTGAAGCTTTCTTCATGTATGGTAAAATATTGCAGGCTTTATTGAAGGAGAGGGGCGAAAACAGCGTGTGCAAGATTCTTGTAGTTGGCACAGGTGGTCTTGCCTTGTGGGCCCTCAGGATCGCATCGTATCACTTCAGTAACATGAGGGACAGAGTTACTACTACAATAGCCACTCTTAAGGACGATGGTCTTCTCATAGCTCAAGAATTTCAACGGTAAATTTATTTAGTTAAGAGAGAGATTCATTATTATTATTAGATTCTTATAATAGAACAGAATAATTATTAGTTAATATTATGTTAATTAATTAATTAATAAACATGGTTTTTACTTAATAATAAAAAGATTCAAACGTGTTCTCGAAGAGTACAAATAAATTTTAGTGTCATCTACGCTGAATTAAAATATTTACATATAATAAATTATTAGCTCTTTTTTTCCTCCTAAGAAAAATATTAAAAAATTCAAAAAATCAATGAAATTTATTTTCAAATTCAAACGTTCACCATCTTATTTTTTTATTTATTCAGCAACTGTCGGCATATTGGTTATAGGGTGAACGTAGTGCAATGGAACGAGGATCTTTATGAGAAGCAGTTGATCGAACGCACAATGGACGCCTGTGGTGGCCAAGTAGACGTGGTAATCGATTTCGGCACGACCTCACGCAACCTCCATCGCAGCATGCAATGCCTAAGCAAGGGCGGTGTAGTGTTTGTGATCAAGGAGGTCGCAGATCGACTACTGCCCAAGTTTAGCCGACGAGCGGAAGAGCGGCAGCAATCCATCAAACCGGTAGAACCGGGTACGTTGGAGCAATTACGGGAGCTGGTGCAGCTAGTCGCCTCCGGCGACATCGAGCCGCCTCCACACACCGTGTATCCCGCCGAGGAAGCTTTGGATGTCGTCCAAAAGCTTTGTCATTCGGAGATCCAGGGCCGTGCGATTCTCCGCTTTTATCCCGCGGACTAGAAGATTTTTTGTTGAAAAATTTCTCCGCGATCGCGGATTAGGCGACAGATTCGACGACGACGACCGAAAAAGTCCGGATCCGGCCCGAGTGATGAGAGTTGTACAGTTGAGAGTTACTACGCGTGTGCGTTTCGAAGTTTCAATATGTAGCTGAAAAGGACTATCGAGTGCAGAAGTAATTATATTGCTTCATATTGAGGGCCGGAGATTAGATAAAGCGTTGCTACGTGTATGTCCTGTAGGGCAACAGTTTGCGAATGAGGGGACTTGACACGACTGCGGGAATGGTCTTCGTAGAAGTGATACGTTAAACTCGAAGAGATTTGACTTAGTGGGTCAAAAAGATCTCACAAGATCCACAAAATTTGACGATACATGAATGAAAGAGTTGACGAAAGAACGTTTTCTCATTTATATAGCTGATCAAATATTAACTGTTAATTTGACAAAATTTTGTAGTAGCAATAGTCGAAAATTACTTTGCGAATTGAATTCAATGTTATTGATCATTCTTTTTAATGTTAACAAAACGTGTAATATTCGAAGGAAAGTTTTCATATAATAAACGAATTATTTTCTGTAAAGAACTTTTTTCGGAAGTTTGCCGATGAAACGAAAGAGATTAGGAGATTATGCTTAACATTTCAGGGATTATCTCACTTTACGTTCTTCTTGTAGATAACAAGCAATTAGTTTTCATAAATGGGCAAAGATAAAATAATGTATGCTTCAATCTATCACACGCGCGCCAGATAACAGCCTAAATAGCTCGGAAAAAATGACATAAAGCTGTTATGTTAACAAAAAAGGACATTATTGTCAAAGAAGCGACGCTCTCTATTTTCTTTTATAATGGATGTCTAATATTTGTCGTTTCTTGGCACAAAGTAAAGTCCAAGATAACATTACAATTTATGCATATTTGTGTTGCCGAATGCACTAATGCAGTTATGAGCAATTAATGTAAGAGAAGTATTCCATTTCATATTCAAGAACTCTTGAAGAAAAACATGCTGATTGGCGACACAAAGCGGTACAGTTGCGCGTCTTGTTAACATGTGAAGCTGTCGTATTGAAACACGCACGATGATAAGATAATTTCGAAGTATGTTGATTATTTTTACTAAGAATTAATGAATACCAGTAACTATATACAAAATAGTCATATTAACTATATACTGTTTTTAATATTTATATTGTAGTTAATACGAGTACTTAAAGTCGTCGGTGCCTAGAAATATAGTGATAAAAAAGAATTAAAAGAAATGAAACTTCAAATAATTGTATTAACTATGCTACTTTAATTTTAACTATAAATAGCTAATGATGGCTATTTAAAAAGTTGCTGGTATTTATAAAAACCTCGACAGCACGAAAAAAATTAAAGTTAATATTTTTGCTGAAAACAGATGAAGGTTTGTCGAAGGTTTTTCTATAAGATGTTTCATTGATATCGCTGCATTACGTATTTTGAATAGAATGATCGCAAAAAAAGTCTGTATTCATATTTAAAACGCAATTTTAAACGATGTTCGTTTAATTGTATGATATGTGTATATTGTTAACAGTTATATTATATGTATAAATATACATGTATAAACATGACAAGAATACAGACCGGTTTATTACAACAACATTTGATATGATCAGAAGATTTCAAGTTCAAGACAGCGATTATGTTCACGCTAATTATGTGATGAGAAACTAACGACCTTATTGAACACGCATTTATTTCAAGCGATATTCTTTATGGTGTTGACGGCGTTTACTGCTATTTATTTTAATTATCGAGAAACTTTGTCGCGACACAATATTGGTGACAGATTGATAATCTCTTTATAATTACCTGAAATATATACGGAGTCATTACTAATTGTTACAAATGTTCCGTGATAATTAATTGAAGGATAAGCGATAAAAAGATACCGCTGACGCAGTACAAAAGTGTACCACTTCAGAACCCAAAACAAGTCCGATATTTATGAGCACACTTCAATGCATACTGCAATGAATGTTGCAGTACAGGATCAAACGTGTATATTCAATGTCAATTTCAGGAATAATAATCGATCGGATGCGCCTGTACGAGCGCCTAGAATAAGTTTCCCATTGAAATAAGGATGTTAAACTGTAACAAATATCTGTCTTACCATAAAATGACACGTCGTTGTTATAGCGAGGTAATCCCAAAACTTAGCAAATAACATGTCTTGAAAACTAGGAATACACAATCAATAAAATTAAAAATTTTTTCTTTGCAAGACAGATACAGAAAAAAATAATTGCTTTATAACTAGACCTAAGAATAATCGCTTCATAAATAGACAAATTCCTTCGCAGCACACGTCTAGTTAGCGAATACATGCTTTTTCAAATGTTCTGGTGTGAAATAATGAAATACTGCATCCGTACGCAAAAATTTTAATTGATATATTCAACTATGTTCAAGTTTCTTAATATGTTTTTCGAATTAGAGACAACCATGTAAGGATGCTGAATTTAAACACATTAATGCTGATCAGACCTGATATTTTCCTAATTAAACTTCCTTCTGAGGTCTGGATGATCACCTCGCTACATCGTTAATATGCCACTTTATGGTACTGTGCGAATATTTACATAAGGTGTGCGTTATTACTTCGCTTTAAGATTCTATCCGATATAATTGAGATTGTATTTAAAATGTTCGCATATAAGAGTGAACGTGAATTGCGTTTTAAGGTCAAGAGAAACGAGCGATCGTAATACATGACGAGTAGTTGCACGCTAAGCGGGCCTTGCCGTCATATCTGCCGACGGTTTCGCGAAACTTAAACACGACGACGCGGATCCGAATTTTATCATTAACCGACATAATAATAACAGCATAATATACTTTACTGAGCGTGTACACTCGTGTCCAAAATATCTCGTTGATCGTCGTTTATCGTTAGATCAGTATTCACCTTTTGCTTAGCGTAAGTTAATGTAAGTTCGTTCGCGTAAACTTGCGACACATAATGCTCGCGTCGATCGTAATACAATCGCAAGTTATACCTCAGAAAGACTGTTCTGTTTATTTTAAACGGTATATTAATATACCCCTCATATTATTTTTTATTGTATAATTTACGCGATAGCTTAAGGCCGTAGCACATGCATCATGTAATGTATTATTGTATTTACTGTTGATTGTAACAGTAAACACATTGTTATATTACGGTGATAATATATAGCCAATATCTTATTTTCCTTTTATAAATAATTTCTGTATTTTATTTTTCTAAATCTCCCATAACAATACATTCTATAATCTACACCAAATATCTTAAATTTGTTATATGTTGCATTTAATTAAACTGTCGAGGATTGTAAATATAATAAAAATAATTATTAAGAAAAAATTTAAAAAATCGCACTTTTTATATCACAATAAGTAAAATATGATATTCATTACAATATTATAAAATATAGTATTTATTATAAGCCTAGCTACGTAATTTGGGTAATCTTAAAATAAACAGTGCTAAATTTATTCTAAAAACAATAAAATGATACAATAACAATATATTATTGAATAATAAGTATTTACTTCTCAAATAAATTCTTGATAAAACATTTAATATAATACAGTTAAACAATTTAATACAACTAAAATAACAGTCAGTTATAATTAAGATTTAATCAATATTCTTTTTGTAACATTTTTATTATATAATATCGTAAATAATTCATATTTGAAACAATATACAATTTTCGAGAAATTTAACATTATATACATATATACATTAAAAATTGCACGTAAAAAATCGATTGTGTAATTCAAAATTAAAATATGATTAAAATTTATAAGTAAAAATATTATCACAAGTTTATGTATATATACTGATAGACATGTATTATTTGTTATAAAAATAGTCTATTGGAACACAATTTTATTAGGCAAGAATGTACGTGCAATTTTCTGTATTATAATATCAATTATGAATATTAGTTATCAATTTTCTGTACAATTAAAAATGATAATCAAATTGTTACAGAAGAAAATATGCTATTTCTAATTAAGGTATACCTTCATACATGCATATATTACATTTAATACATTTATACATGAATATAGATAATAATTCGACGATAATTCAGTACGTATGTAAAAATCTTAAAAAATGTATAAATCAAACAGTGTATAAACCTAAGTACTAATAAGAAATTTGAATACAAAAGTTATTTTTGAGTATTGATATAAATATCTAATAATATTTCGATTAATTATCTTTTCGAGATCTTTATATGTTTAATCAAATCAGATAAAAAATTCTAAAAGGCTTTTTTCTTAACGTAAAATATCAATAATATACATTTTTCATGAGATAATCATAAAACACTCAAATATTAATAAATTGATAGTAATTAATAATTTATATCAATGATTAATGATTCTGCAATTAAGTTAATTATCAGATCCCAGCATAAAATTGTAATAACAAAATGTAAAACTTGTGCTTATTTTAAGTTCATCGTTATGACTTTGGTTTAATGGGAGAGCTTAAATAATTCCGTGGAACGTAGCCTTGTTTACCGTTACGATTCTCTACCAACCACCATTCATCGTTTCCTTTCTCATCATGAGGTCTGAGCAGTTTCAGAGCTTGACCGTTAGTAATAGGTAATGTGCCCGGCATGTTTCCAGCAAAATCGTACATTGCATAGTAAAACTAAAATTTTATTATGTATATTAATATAAAGATATTAGTCCGAAAGATATTAAAATGTTATTAATATTCCATTATATTAGAATATTATACTAACTTCGCCGTGTATATATTGTATATTTTGGTAAACTCTCTCTACTTGAACTCTCGGCGTTTCAGGAACGTTGCTATAATTGGGATATGCTTTTGTTTCTTGATCTAATGAAAGCAAATCCTGTAGATGCGACGAAGATACTTTTTTGATCTCTTTCTCTGGAGAATCTAACGACATCAAATTCGGAGGGCTAACACTTTTTCTCCCGGAAGTAGCGACATCCGATGTGGTTTGATCATGATGTTGACTCTGTCGCTGAACCGGTCTTAGTTTTTGAAATGGCAAAAATCCTTGAGTGACTCCAGTGTCGACATACCACCTCGCCGGATTTCCCATTGGATCTTGCCTTTTTATGACTCCGACCAACATACCTCTCGTAGCGTCCACTTCCAGTGTAGATGTACTGACAACATCCTCAACTACCACATATAATTTGTCTGCAGTATATTTTTCTCTAAGCGAAGATCTCTGCTCTTCAGTCTGTTTAAACAATTGCGATTGACCCTCGTCTACTCGGGTATTTGTGCCAGCAAACGCAAAACGCGTTATTTGATTCCATATTAAATTATGATTTACGAGAAATGATTCCAGTACATCTTGTGACGATAGATGTAACGGTGATGTCTAAAAAAGAAAATTATGTTTTGTCCATTCTGGAATTACATTAGACTGAAAATTTTCTATTAAAGTTTTAATACCTCACAAAGAGATATATATTGCTTTGTAATTTTTCCGCTTAGTAACTTTCGGGCGCCAGCAAAAGCATTAATACAATTAACCAAAATGTTTGCTGTGGCATCCAGCAAAATAGGTAATTCTTCCAATAATTGTTGATTTAGAGCTTCGTAATTACTCTTAGCAGTAAATAATTCTTCTTGTATCTAAGACAACATAAAATAAATCAGATAAATTATGAAAAAAATATATTTACAATAAAAAACATTAAGAGAGAGAGTAACATAATAATTACAATTTTTGATTCTTTATATTTCTCACTCTTTGAAATCGCAGCATCATAATCCAACAACTTGTCATGCCTTTTTGCTACCAACACCGCTGGCCCTTCTAACAGCGTCGCTAAGAAATGCAACGGGGCGCTAACTGTCTTCTCAATATACGACTTAAAGTCCCGTATGTATTGTGACCAAATTACAGATCTTATATCTTGCAATTTTTTCACCTCAGCAGTTGGACTTCCCTGATAATAATGAACCAGCAATTCAGCTATCGCTTCACCAGACATAGCTTCATCGCTCAAGTACGTAATACATTGCTCAATATCTTTCACCAGTTGCCATGTACATTTCTCTATAGATCGAAATTGTTTCTCGAGTTCCTCAAATTCGGTGTCACTCGCAACGTTTGTCAATCCCAAACTCGCCGATAATCGCGTGCTAAGTCTTGTTGACATTTTCGCCACAGAATGCATACTTAATTTTGACATTTTACTAAATAAAGTATTATCATTATCTAAATACTTTGATACGATATCTCTTCTCCGTTTGTATTCGTTGATATAACTGGCCACATTTGTCATAGCCTCCCACGCCTTCATTACGGCTGCTTTATCTGGATGATTGTCTTCTGTACACTAAAAATTATTTTCCATGCAGAACAATATTATAATACAAAATAACTTTGAACATACAAATGCGTATAAATATTTATCTGAAAAGTAATCTAAATTCAATTTCACAAATGATGCTAAAATTAATATACTCGTATATCAAAATACTCTAATATATATATATATTTTTTAAAATATATTTTTTAATGATATATATATATACTTCATTAAAAAATATATTTCAAAATTGAATTTCTACTCTCTTCCAAATAATTAATTTATTTATATTCTTCATATTTTGTATAACTAACGCGATTACTTACCTTTATTAATTCATATAACATTAGAGGATACTTCACAATTCTTTGAATCGGCTTTATCAGAATAGAGCTCATATCAAAGCAAGCAACCTGACGACGTAGTGTCTCAATACCCTTGTTAAATACTTTCATGATCTCTTCATTACTTTCATACTAAAATACAAATGGATTCGATATATGGTACATAATCCTAACTTCAAATAAATCTTTTATGTTAGTATACAGTTGTCAATTAAAAATTTCGATTACATTATACATAAAATACCTTTTTTAACAAAGCTAACGCGGCTTCATGATTCCCACAGTACTTAACGTAAACACTTTTCAATTTCTCGGCCATTTTTACGAAACAAGGTCCAACTGTTTGCAAACTTTCATCGTGATCTTTCATAGCTCTCAGAATCATATCCAACAACTCCTCGGCAACATGAATAACTTCTAAAATGTTTCCAAACAACGTAGTAACATCAATTCCCTTTGATTCGAGAAAACTTGGATTATGTAAGTTAAATGTTTCGTATGTTAACTTCAGATCGCGAACATATTCTTTTTCAGTTATAACTAATTCCGATATTACATTTTGACGTTGGTCTGCATTCTTTTGTTTCATATTTACAGTATTATTAATTGCAGACTTGTTTTCCCACGTTTCTTTTTTAGCAGATACTTCTCCGTTTGCGATAGTTTCTTTTTGCAATGGCACTCTGCCTGGAGCAGGAGCAGGTGGTGCTGGCCTGTGCGGTTGCGACATTCTCTTCAGTTCTTCATTTACTACAGTGTTCTCTTCCTTATGTCTAATCATCACAAAATCTTCAAAGTCTTCCAAATTTGATTCGTGCAAACTGTCCAACGAATATTCAGATATCGATTCAGAGCTCAAATATTCTCGTGGACACAAACCAACTAAACCATTTTTATTTTTCACTTTCACCCAATCTTCATTAGTCATTTCCTGCACAGTGACACTCTCGCCTTCATGGACATTTAAATCGCCATTCATTTGTGCGTCAAAGGTATATAACACTTTTACAGTAGTATTCGGTTTCAAAGCATTCTTTTTTGCAGGAATTACTTCAGATTGGACTTGATATTGTTCTGCTTCTGCACAATCGACTATGATGTTGACGTAAGATAATGGAAAAATACCTTTAGTGGTATCAATCGTACCTTCTAACCATTCAGAATCGATGTATCTAGTGAGATGCACTACTTCGCCTGCTCCAAAGCTCAGCTCATTTGGAAACTGTGCGTTAAATGGATATAATGTTATGGCATATGGTTTAATATCAACAGAATTCGTATGACTATTATACTGTGTACTGTCTATATTATTAGTTGTTGGCAACACCTCTGGGAACAAGTCAAAATAATTTGGAATAGGTTCATCGGGCAAGTTCGCATAAGAATTTATAGAAGTTTCACCAAAATCTTTATAAATTGTGCCATTGTGAACTGTTGACAAAGATACAACATTGTTCTCAGTTGTACATATAACTTGCCCTTGATCAATTATATCCTGATCTCCTTCTATATAGGATATAAATCCTTCTGGGAATATGCCTTCTCTACCATTTTCCGTAACTCCACGGCACCAGCCGTCATCCAAAATTTCTGTGACAATAACCATCTCGCCTGCAGTTAAGTCTAATTCTTCATCCAGTTGTGCTTTCAGTGTCGTTTTTACCTTCGCTCTTTTCCTTATTGATTTATTTTTAATTGTTTTCTGTAAAAAGTATTCCTATTAATTAATAATTTTGTACACAACTGATAAATATGATACAATCTCTTTCAATATTCTACCTTTATCAATGCTGCATCCAGTTCCCATGTATGCGTTAATGGAAAAATTCCACTTTTGGAGCCTATCTTGCCCATGCACCATCCTGAACCTATGTCTCTAACTCCAATTATAAGTTCTCCTGATAATAAGAGAATTTTTGTGTATCAAGTTATAATATTAAAACTTAAAGACAATTATTACATCTTTACACTTTTGTTAAAATAATTAATCTAGTATCCTTTTATATAAAAAGTTCATGGCATAACAGCGTGTCTTGTAGCACAGTTATCTCTTACCTTCTGCAAAGGACAAATCTCCAACTTCTTGTCCGGGAAAGCTGGCTGTAGAAACAAACACTCTTTCTGTTTCACCAAACAGAGGAATTTCCACTTTATGCAGGTGGCTTAAAGGAAACTTGCCGACTTTATCTTGCGACTGACCATGGCACCAGTGTTTGTCTATGATCTTGTGTATCTAAAACAAGATAACAGGCCTATTACTTTCAGCTGTTTACACTTGACTGCTCATTAGGTTAGGTGTTAAACGTTTATTAGTACCACGAAATACTGTCCCTTGGGAAGGCTCAGCTCTTCATCGACAGTGGTGAAGAAGTCGTGCAGTACCCTCGCCAGCGTTCCCGGCTCCATTTCCGCTACGACGCACTCGCATCCGTTGTATTTGCGATACTACGTCCAGTATATGGTACCGAAGCAGTGGCGAGCCAGGCCAGCCAGTGGCGTGGCGTGGCGAGGCGCCTGACAGCCGATACTGCTCCGGTAAGTGGCTGTCACGTAGCATACGCTTTTATTGCGTGAATTGAATTATACAGCGATTAAATTATGTGACATTATTGAAGGAAAAACCATCCACGTGTCGAACAAATGAATGAAATATTAATATTTTTTGCAATTAAAGTGTGTTGTCTGAGATAACGGATAATTGATAACGATCGGCAACATCAATATCGAACGAGAAAATTTAAATGTTTTTGTCAACAACAAAGATTTATTACAGCGAATTCGATTGAATATGCGCTGCGCGCATACTGCAGATTTACTGATACATATTGCATTAATAAATCATCGTACTTAGATTAACGTAAAAATGTATTTAATATATTATAAAAATACGGAAACGAGTTAAAATCACGAAATCTTCAATACACTTTTTTGTACTGTTAGGTAAAATATATGTACATATATATTTTAAATTCGAAATATTTGCGTTTTACTTTTACACTCACAATAGAACTCGCTATTAATCAAATTTTTTAACATTTAAAACTTCGTTTATAAACAAAATAAATACAAAGTGTTCGAATAATGCTTTAAATAATATTTATGAAATTTAATATTTTATATACAAAAATCAATTAGAATAATATTTATAAATTTTTCAAATAGATTTACATTTTGGTACAAAATTAAAAATAATTGTAAAAATTTAATAGAGAAGTATAAGTTTAAGTGTTTTCTCAATAATGTACTTTACGCTTTACGTCACTAATTAATTCATGTACGAGCTGCGTGTCTCCGTCGCGCATGAAGTGTAACGTATACACGTAGAGTATTCGTGGAATCAGCTGAGCTGAGCTGAGCGGATTGCGGAGTCAGCGGAGATCGATATCGCGTTTATCGTTCTTTATTCATTTCGTGTAATTAGAACGATGTATATTTAGTATATACGTGTGTTAATATTGTACGCGTCGATAGTTCTTATGTGCAAAGTTACATCATGCGAGAAAATCGTAGTCGGGCATTAATTGACACATCTAGTCGTGTTTTTACTAGTGGTGAGGTTAGGACAGCTAGCACATAACCTCGCACAAGTGGATCATTTTTCATGAAGAATAATAAAGTAATAAAATAATGAATGGAGCTGTATGATTTTTCTCATTATTTGTAACTTTCAATATACCCGAATGATATAAATTGTTTCTCTTATATTTATTATAAAATGTTTTCGTGTGACTAATAAAAATTAAGAGAAACATCAAGAAGATTAAATCGTTCCCTTTCTTTAAAAATGACACAACTCAAACAATGTATTTTTGAATTATTATTATGAATGAGTTAGAGATGAAGATTACTCTATCAATCATCAAGAATAAACTAATTTATGTAAACTGATTCACAGTTCGACCACCAAATAATACTTGTGTCATTCTTAAAGTTTTTTAAGAGATTATAATATTATATTTTCTGCGGAAGAGGGAGAGAGTGACACATTTTAAATTGTTTTTGTTAATAAAAAGGAAAGTCTTTTACAGAGAATATTTATAGATTTAAGATAGTTTTGATAATCGAAGTTTGAGAAAGAAATTGTTTTATTTTAGTCATTTGAACTGATCAAGATAAATATAAACTGTTGATGATATACAATATATTTCAAATCAGTTTTGATGAATTATTCTGTATTTGTTATAATTTTTCGAAATTGCAACTAAAAAGGGTAGCTTTTAATAATCACGATAAAAAAAAATAACATTTGATTATGTTTCTAAGAATACATTCTTTTTGCCTACATTTTTCATTAGTCAATAATTTACTGTTAAATACAAGAACTTTTCTCCTTTTCTCACAAATTTAATTTAATTGTGTCACATTTGAGGTAAGGGAACAAAATAATTTTATATATATATTATATATAATAAAACTACAATAATATTAAATATTTTGTACAATTTAATTAGTGATTATTATATTAAGTTTTGAAATTGACAACAATTTTTTACAAAATGCATTGTATACGCAAGATTACAAATATTACACAATGGAATCTGCAAGTATTTAACAAAGTTGATACAGTACACAAGAGAGCAGGAATACTGCTACAAAATGTTATTTGCCGTTTGAATCACGACTCCGACGAATATTTACCTGAGGAAGATGAGGGGAAACGGAACGAATACGTCAAGATCGCCAGTCATTATTTAGGCATTGCTGCTGGTGGACATAGGACGTTTATTTTACAACCGTATGTAAAATGGGGGATAAACAAGAAGAGAAACACTTCGCCGGAACTACAAATGGCTGAAGCTGTGGCTCTAATAAATACTCTACCTCATTGGTGTGTAGTTGGAACAAAGTACGCCCCGTTACTTACATTGCAGAGGAAGGAGCTGCTCGGTACCGGCGCGATCGAGAATCTAAAGAAGGACTTAATAGCATGCCCAAACCCCACTGCCATATTTGTTAGCACTAATCTGTTGAAGTTTGTCCAGATCAGCGAACTGGAAAAGATCTTTGGTCTACCAGTGTATGATCGTTATTCCATAGTTATCCACATATTTCGTGAACATGCGAAGACTGCGGAGGCAAAGCTGCAGGTAGCCTTAGCGGAGATACCATACATTCGGAAAAAAATATTTGAATCCTGCGTTACTCGCTGTGGCGTGATAAACGTGACGGAGGAGACGAAACTGTTGCTCGACACCAAAGAGAAGAAATTGAAAAACCAGTTGAAGAAGCTGCAGCAACATCGACGATTAATTAGAAGTAAGCGTAAGAAGTACGGCTTCCCCACGGTCGCTATAGTCGGTTACACAAACGCAGGGAAAACCTGCTTAATAAAAGCGCTCACGGATGACAATGCTCTACAACCTAGGAACAAATTATTCGCAACCCTTGACACTACCGCGCATCAAGGCATTTTACCAAACAGATTAAAAATTTTGTACATGGATACTATCGGATTTATTCAAGATGTGCCGCAAACTCTGATTGAACCATTCCTTGTGACTCTAGAAGATGCCATGATCGCTGTACGTTGGTCCTATAATACTTCCTCCTCTTGCTGTTATCTTTTTTTTCTTTCACAAAAATTTCCCAAATTAAGAATTCTCTTTCCTAGGATGTGATAGTTCACATATACGATGTCAGTCATCCTGATATGAAGGCGCAATATCAGCACGTCCAGCAGACGATAAAACCCATGTTGGACGATCGTCCAATAATCGACGTCGCCAATAAGTGCGATCTTGTTCAAAGCGATTGCATACCCAAGGATGCAATTGCCGTCTCCGCTAAGAATCTGACAGGTGCGATCAGAATTTATTGTCATTGTTTGCACAGTATAAATCATTCGAGCAACATTCCAGAAATATTGCTGTAACATTTCTACAAGATTTTATGTATACTTTAATGAATTAGCTCGATTCAATTGAGTATAACAACTTTAAAACCATTTAAATACTTACAGGAATCGATTTGTTACGTTTGAAGATACAGGAGGTCCTTTTAGCAACTTCTGGACTATTAACCATACGTGCGAGGGTAAAAGCTGGCAGTCCTGCAGCCAGCTGGTTACATAAAATGACAACAGTGACAAACATCGAATCAGATCCGAACGACGCTCAGTATTTAATTATGCAAGTGATTACCACTGCGGCCGACGTTCAAAAGTTCAAGAAATTTTTAAAACAATAAAGAGTTTTATACCACGCACAAGATATTCTTTTCCTTTCTGCTAGTCTTATTTATTTTATGATTAAAAAGATTATATGCGTATAACTTATTTATCAATACTTTATGTATACAATACTTGAGTAGCGTTTAATAACATCATAATTTTGTAAACAATTTTCTTCTGCGAAAGAATGTTTAAAATTCCTTGTGCCAGATATATCAAAGATTTCTAATATTTCACTAAATTGCATGATTCACGATCAGTAACAGTTTGCTGCTAAAAATATAACAGAGGAACGTATGTATTGCCATTTTTATCGGAGAATCAATATATAAATATCTAAATTACTGAGAATGTTTTTTTCTTGTTTGAATGAATCACGCACGTGCACAGAACGCACTTGAAAATCTTAGAAATATCCTTGGGCGCGGCATACTGCCAAGAAGTCATTTCTTTTTACAGCTCGGCATGTACACGTGCTCAGCACGTGTTTCTCTGCAATCGGCAGACGACACGACTTAAAGTTTCAACTGAAAGATACTCGTTAGGGCTATTAACGAAATTAAAGACTTTATCACGGCACCTAGGCACAGGCGATGCAAGTTGTAAAGTTTGTAAATAGTATTTCATACCTAAAGCTTATCGTTTGTACTCTGAACTTTGTAATATTCCTATTGATATTTACGAATGTCGTTAATTAAAAGAGATTAAGGGACATTCTTAGTAAATAGAGTTTTTTACTAAGTTTTTACGAATCACAAAGAACATTAAAATAGATTTACAAAGTAAAAGTTATATACATAGTTTCTCTTTGTAAAATATGAGAGGATTTAAAATATTATTCAATACGTTTTCCCAATGATTTTTTTAATCTAGATAAGATAAAAAAAATTTTTTAAATAAATTTTTAAAAGATGCATTTCCTCTCAATTATATGAATCCTGCAAAAATCCTGCACTTTGTCAGAGAAATTTCCAAAAATGTTCTCATTTCTAAGCTAATGGATCATATCATACCACCATATGAATATTAACATCCTTTTGAGAGAAAAAGATTAAAATCTATTGAACGAATTGTAAATTTAAAACTTTTTATTAGTACTTCTATTTTTAAAAAATAAAAATTTGATGCATTCCTCATACGTGACTTCGTGCCTCTCGACCAAGGGAAAATACGATGCTATTTCAACGTTGCAGATGGCATATACATCTGGCGAGAAGCATTGAAATAGGAGGAAGAATCTTGAAAGAAGGAACGGCACTTCAGGCTTTCACACGGAGATATGTAGTCTGAAATTTGGCAGGACAATCGATTTGCGTTTGGATCGTTGCCCGATGGAAAAGACTGCCCTGTTTAGCTATCGCCGCCGTTTTATTAAGAGTTCCGTTTGTTTGCTTTATCTTTCCGCTCGCGCGAGTGTGCTGGCGATCAACCACCGCGAGAGAAACTTCACGACGAGGGTGCCGTCACGGCGCGATGTATAATTCATAGAACTCGATGGTTCTGCGCGTCCAAAGGGTGTCCTGATAATTTTATACGGCAATAGCAGAGCGAGATGACATGTTATTTTTTCACAATGACGCTTTCTTCTTTTATCTCGAGGAACTTCGCATCCATTCGCTGCAATCACGAGAGTTCACTGTTATACCTTCTGTCTTTCTTATCGCTAAACGCGCAAATAGCTATACGCCAACAATGAGTACAATTTTACCGTCGTAAAGTTTTACTCAGTCGAGAGAATGTTAAACGAACGCGAATCGGAGAAGGGGTGATTCTCAACGAGTCTCGTGACAGCTACGTTCTATGCGGGCGACTCTCGACCGTAAAACTCTCCGCAGTACGTACTAACCCGAGCAACGCGCTCGTCATTAATATCCGGTGACGGCGGGACACCCTGTGTGTAGCCTTATAAAGTGCCCCGGCAGAATTAATCGCGCCGCGCGGAGGAAGAGTCTCGGAGACTCTCGCGCGCGTCGTCCTTTAGCTGTGGGAATTAATGGAGGATTGATATCGCGATTATGTTGTAGCAATAGAGTAGAAGAGGGTCCGGGGCGCTGGGCACCGTGTGGGCCGATCGGCAGCAGCGGCAGCGCGGATCGTGGCGATAATTAATTGCAGGCGTGACGGCGCTTTAACGTCGTTAATTTTCATTATCTCGATCGGAATCCGCTTGTAGCGCGGACGCCGTCGCTTTGCGCTCGCTAATTTCGCGCGCTCGCTCGCTCGCTCGTTCGCCTCGCTTTCGGGAAAACGCGCATTAACAATCCTTGGGGTGAGCTCCATATCGAGGATGGAACGGGAGAAAGGGGAAGCAGGGATATCTTGCAAAATTTGTCACACGTCGCGGCTATACGATGACACTAATGTTACCAGACACTCTTGTGACCAGAAATCGCGAAACGCTCGCGCGCGATGCACTTGACAGGCATGTTTGGATTATTAAAGCGAGTCAAGTAAAATCTAATTATCGCGATGGTCAGCCAAATGACAGATCAGCACCGCTATACCCGTCTCCTGTACATCTAGCATATCGAGATGACACGAGTAGTGTAGTAAAAGATCACTATGCGGTCGAATTCAAGTTGTCGCGGCCGTCCCGCTTTTAATTATAATGAGTTCATCCGAACGCGCAGCTTTACATTTATCAGAAAAGCTGTATTAAGTTACATGCAACGATACCTATTCTTGTAATTTTCCACTCAACATATACATGTTATATACATACTGTAGTTATATTGTTGAGTGAAAAATGATACAACTAGCAGGTATATACGTCTCTAATTCTTATCTCCTAACTAAACAAATAACTTTTGCCGGCAACGGTGATGAAGCTTTGGTCCATTAGATTGTCGACCAAACCCGGGTCGGATTCGTGTTTATTTAAACACGCTTTAAATACAAAGTTGCGGCTTGACCGGGGCCTATATCGCGCCTGCCCTCGGCAATTAAGCGAACGATTGGCTAACGAACGTCGATCGCCTCGCCGAGTGCGCGGCTCGTGTAACGTAATGACCGTCGTGCTGATTTGCTCGCCGTTACGGATTCAATTACGGGCGGCCTGCTCTGGTATTTTACACGGTACGGCACGCCCGAGCGTACCGAGATCAACGGCGGAAATTAAATTAAACCTAACGCCGCTGTACGCTACGCGCGCATAAATAACGAAAGTGACACCGCCATCGGTCCGGGACCTAACGAACATAATCCGATACTTGCGTTGTTTTAAGCGCCGCGCCGTTCGGCCGCACGCTCGCCCGGCCAAGCTGCGAAACTGTCTGCTAAATGAAGTTCAGATCAAACAAGGGCTGGCGCTAATTGACTTTAACTGAAACACCGATCGGTTAGCGCCGATCATTTTTAACTCTCTACTGTCCAATGCAACTTTCAAGTCACATATCCGTTTGTTTCGATTGTCGCTTGCATTTGCCGTTAGCAAGAAAATGATAAACTTTCTATATGCGCATGCTTTCGAAATGCACAGATCTGCTGTACATTTTATTTAAATTTAAATTGACTCGTTTGTTAAATATGTATATTGAAAACTTTTTCAAAACCCAAAGTGTATATGATATTAAATATATGTATATTATAATTTATATGATTAAGAGATTTAAACCGGTATCCATATAATCCATTCTTCTTGTAAGATTGTTAATGTCTTAATAAGACACTATTGGTTTATGACATCTTAAAATTATACTTAAGACAATCTTAAAGAATCAATTATAAATATCGCTCTTATACGCGAGTCGTCTAAAAATCAATTTCACGGAAGAGAATACCGGAAATGCGTTAGAATATTTCGTACATAAGATATTCTCACACCCAACTGTCATCGTGTCTAGGAAAATGTCCATGAAACTGAAAGACGCGAAAATTGAGCTCAACGGTGTTTGACTTTTGCAAATGTAAGCTCTCCCATGTTTAATTGCTTAAAAGGAGGCACGGCATGCCCAAGGTGTGAAGTCGGCAACGTAAGGTGGGGCCTGTTTTGCGGTCGGACATTCGCGGCTCGGTTAGTATCTCCCGAGTTTGAGCGGCTGACTTCAAAGGGACGCGAAAACATTCGTGCGCGATTGACCCCGCGAAAGGGAATACCTTCACGAAACGATCAACGCGCGTATTCCTACCTAGCGAATTATTCCCTTCCCTTTGTGTTTCCCATTTCTTTCTCCTTTACGTATCATACTCGCGTAAGAGGTCGAACGTTGAGCGATACGTGCATTTGCATACGCGCCCTGTCCCCCCTCCGCTTCATTCACGTTCTTGTCATTGCGACTTAACGCGTGTCGTCTCGCGCGTGCAGTCATTTATCGTGAGGCTTATACCGGGTGTTCCGTTACTACAGTATCAACGCATAACTCTGTCGATTTGTTTGGGACTATATATGACCGAAAATGATAATTAATGTTCTTATACTAATGTTTTATTTCAAAATTCTTTTTTTTCTCTAATATTTAATATCTTTATCTGTTAATTTAAAATATTTCTTCTGGAAAAATTATTTTTTTAACTTTTTAGAAATTTTTGTATATTAACCTAAATGATGATTATATAGTAAACAGATCAGTAGGATTAATGATAAATTTGGAACGAAATTAAAAAAAAAATTTTTATACACTAACCGTTGTGGAGTAAAAGATGCTCTCTTTGTTGAGCTGAACTTTAATACGAATAAATTATAATATAATCCGTACATTTGTACGGATTGTATATTAAAAAAAATTTTAATTTCTTTTTTTATTATTAAAAGATACTTAAAAGTCTCGAGAAACTATATTATTTATTTATATATAATTATATATGAGCAATTTTTTTCAACTGGCATTTTTGAAAAAAAATGCAATTATGCTTTTAATTATTTTTTGAATATTTAACACTCACATTGATATCCTGTCGTACACATTCAATATTTTACACAAACAGAATGTAAAATTTAATTAAAGAATGCTTTTTTTTTAAACAACATGTATACATAAAATGTTATAAACTTCGATAAGAGAAAAACAAAAACGTATACAATATGCGCCCTGGATTATCTCCCGGATCGCTCGATCTCCGTAATTTATATCAGCTTTTTCCCTCTCTTCTTGACGCCGGTCTTAGCAGTGAGGATACACAAACCCTTTTGGCTTTTACGCATCGTACGTCCCTGACACCGGCAAGTCGTGCGATTGGCCCTCCTGCGGGCGTGGGAGCTCCGCGGGGGTTCATAGTTTGTCGCACGGTTAGTACAACTGTGCTGGGGGTGGATCGAGGCACGCGGGACGGCTAGTACCTGGGGTTGGGGCGAGACGGGGGTAGGTAGGCAGAAGTTGATAGCCGGTCGGCGCAAGTGCGACAGGGAAGCGGCGGGGGTGAGGGGCGTATTGCGGCCTGGCGAAGCCCAGTCGAGTCCCGTGAGTCCGGGCAAGCACTGCTATCGAGTAGGTGGCATCGTGGTGGTGGTGGTGGTAGTGGTGGAGGTGGTGGTGTTAGGCGTCGTCCGGGACCGAGGAGAAAGAGAGAGAGAGAGAGAGAGAGAGAGAGAGATTCCATCGAAAGAGAGAGCGAGAGAACCGCCATCGAATACCGCTGCCGCCGCCGTCGTCGTCGTTATTGTCATCCGTAGTAGTCGTAATCGCGGTCGCTGTTGTTACCGTCTCCGTCGTCGTCTTCGCGTTCATCGTTGCCGTCGAGGCGGTGCGTCGCCGTCGCGCGCTCGGTAAAAGCCCAGCCCCGAAGAATGGAGTAAACAGCCTCCCTCGTCTCTCTCGCGCCTGCATGTCGATAGAGCGAAATGAATGGAGAGAACGAAAAAGGCAGAAAGAGCGAGAAAGTTAACGCGAGCGAATGAGCGAACGAAAGAAATCAGAGAGAGAGAGAGAGAGAGAGAATATGTGTGAATAGGAGAGACAGAGAGAACATAATGTGATTGCGAGTCGCGAGAGAAAGGGAGAATGATGCGTTCTCAGAAGCGGTAAAGAAGTATACCCGTCCTAGTTGTTATCGGAGGGGAAAGGAAGAGGACGCGCCTACCGGTCGTGCGGCGCGCAAAGTCTTGTCGAGCTGAGCCTCGCCGGCGACGAGGTGGCAGAGGAGGAGGAGGAGAAAGTGTAGGAGGTGTAGGAGGAGAGGCTACGGCAGCGAGAGCTGTCACTTCGATCGCCATTTTAGCGCCGAGGAACGGCTGTGTCAGATACGCACGTCGGAGCCGGTGCGTGCTGGTGCGTGTCGACGACGCGCTGCAATGGACGCATATCTCGCTTGCTCCGTGTCGTGCCCTCGCCTAGCCGTACCCTTCGGCACTCGCGACCTTTCCCCTTCTCTCTCCTTAAGGATCGCGCGCTAAACCCGAAGGAAGCGTGACGCGCCGCTATATAGTCGCGCGAGAAAACGCGATGTTCGTTGATCGATTTTTACATTAAAAAAAAAAAAATCTTAATTACGCAGTCCTACGTTATTCGTATAAATATTGGGTGCTTTCCCAAAATTTAGGAACACAAGTCGACGCAAGCCTAATTCTACCTCTCTCGACGTTCAGTGAGCGATGAAGATAGAACGACGTGTTGTGTCGACCTGTGTCACCAAATGAAAAGCATCTTATTAGTATCTCATTTCTTAATAAAACGATCTTGAAATAAGAACCGAATACCGAATACTGATCTTCGTCGGCACGTATCTGTAGCGGAGATTTTTCTTGGATCGGACTGCGTCGTATACTTTTTAATCTTCGACTACAGCAACGGGCCATTTAGATCCGAAGTGAACATTTGGACGACTGTTATATACAATTTGTACGATCGATACGATTGATATGGCCGGTATTTATAGTCGATTCTTGTATCTACAATAAGCCGTTATAGATCGGAAGTTAGGAGCAAGTTCTAAGTGGGTCAGCAGTGTCATAAGGCGCGATAAGTCGGTAATCAGTGCCTGCAGGGAGATGGCCAGATTCCATTTTTTACGATTTAAAGTTAGATTACGTTATGACTGACTAATCACATAATGTATTATTATTTGTCCTGACAACTATCGCCCTTCTGATTAGCGGTTGAAATGTTTGTGACGTAACGATCTAATGTTATTTATTCTGGTTGTAAGATTTATGACTATAATTCTGACTTATCGCTAATCTGATATGAGTGATGACTAACGGGTTATTGTAGAAAGCCCATTATATTTAACAATAAGACTGTCTTTTAAGATGTTATGAATCCATCAGAGACCCGAATATATCTTACGATCCTACTTAAGATGGTCTTAAAGAAAGAAACGGACTACGAGTACCGTCCTATAGGTTTTAAATCATAGATGAAGAAACTTGAAATGTTCTTCTATTAATCAACGTGAAGCGAAGGTTCAACGCAGGACGTTTTAAAACTTGGGTGTCGTTTCCATAGCTAAGGCCTTAATTAACCCGGGTTAATTTTGCGAGAGAAAAGACCCGATCGTGTTTTCGCATCTCTATTGTATATTTGACAAATACATTTCCCTTTTAAGACAAGACAAGATATTAATTCTTAATTTCATGGAGAAACATTTTCGGTCTATAGACTATAGTCGACGTTGCGTGCTTGGCAAACGCGAGTTTTCTAGGCCGTTGCGTGCTGCACGCGGCGATAGTGAGTGTATCTCAAAATTTGTGCACTAGTAATTCGAGTAATCGCTGATCGTTAGTGTGGCCGATTTCTAAAGCCTCTACGGCGAGCCATAAATCTCTCGAACGCGACGTACTATTTGCGCGCTTCTCGCGAACTATCGAAGGACGTTCACGCGTAACCACCAGCCGCTAACTTCATTCGGTTGACGATTCGCCTCGAGCGTTACGGTTATGGCGTCATTTTTCACGGTTGTGGTACATTGCCCGCGGCGAATATTAACGAATATTAACGATATCGTGGAATTTCAGAAACGATATCGGTCGGTTGATAACGAGCAGTTCGATTTTTCTCGTTAGTTTCGTGAAAGCACACATGCAACTTTCAAATGGACGGTACGCGACTCGAATTCGTGGTATTAACTATCAGCGCGAAGGAAGAAGGTTAAAGGATGCAAGGAGGAGTAATAAAAAGAGTAGAACGGATGGAAGGAACGGTGTTCAGACATGCACGATGGATGCGTGAGTGACGGACAACAGAGAGGTTATAGAAAGAGAGTGGGAAGAAAGGAGACAGGGTGACTCAACGGGCGAGGAGAGAAGTGAATGGGCGAATGCGATGAACGAACGAGCGAGCGAGTGAGTCGGGGCGAAAGAAAGAGGAGAAAGCTAGTATCGGAGGGAGAAAGAAGTGCGCGAGAGAGATAGCGAGGGAGGGAGAGTACGAAAGAAGCCCGGCGCCATACTGGCTCCCCGCGATTTCGCGACACGCACGCATGTCGGCCAGCCGGTCAGCGAGCGAGTGATGCTGGTTTCGCGATTCGCACCGAAAAGACGACGCACTCTCTGATCGATCGCGAATGCTTTTCTATAGATGCCGAAGCGGCGACATCTGTTCCCGCGCGTTCCCTCCGCCACGCACCTGATCGCGGATTACCCCGGAAATCAGCGATCCACCGAGGAAACCCGCCCCCTGCGGCGTGCGTAAAAGGGACGAGCGGAACGCGTGAACGCGCGCGGCCGAGAGGAATCGAAGGGGCGCGCGGCTCACGATGATTCTGCGCGGCCTGGGACTGTTTACGTATGAGTGCGAGTGAGACAGCCGAACAGACAGAGTGAAAACGCGCTCAGGTGGTACACGCATACACACACGCGTGCAACGCGCGTGCGTGTCGGACCGCCGTCATCGGTGAGAGAACGACAGGATTGTTTGAAGGAAAAAAAAGGGCAGCGGAAGAATCGCCGAGTTGTGTGATGTTGGGCCCCGCGGCACCGCCGGGTTCCTCGTGGTGATCAAGTGCTTCGCTACGTATACAGTGCGTTTGCGAGGGGAAGAGAAGGAGGAAGAAAGAGAGAGAAAGAGAGAGAGAGAGAGAGAGAGGAACGAGCGCGCCGGAACCGACGGTCGCGAGTGTGTAGCGCGATCGGAGTCACGAGGCGACCCGGAATAACGATATAATAGCAAGCCCGGCGGGCTGTATGTGAGTGTGTATTCGCCGCTCGGAACACGAGGAACGTGTCGAGAACAGGGGGTCCCGAGTGACGTCGGGGGGGCGCGTGCAGACCTGACTTTGCCCCCCCACCCCTGCGCCTATAATCGGCACCCTTCAAGGCTCGCCGAGGAGAGGATAGCTCGCCGATTTCGCGGTGTGGTCTAGGTAAGTTTTCAAGATGTTTCTTACGCTTCTCTCTGTCTCTCTCTCTCTCTTTCTTCGTCTAACGATTCAAGGAAATTATCTGCTTCGCTCACGCTCTGAGTTTATAGCTGTATATAAAGTACTCACAATCAGCTGACAATGAGAACTGACAGCTATACGAATAATCTTTTTCGTACGCATTTTGAAGTACTATATCAATATTTTTGCTAGTAATATAAATAATTGTTAATTTTATAATTGTTGTAGAGAAAATAATTTAATTTTATCATAAAAAATTGTTATACCATTTCTTTTATTCAATTCAATTGCCTCAGTTAAGTCAAATTAAGAGCTGAATTAAGAGCTCCACGTTTCGTAAAAATGGAGTAAATGAAATCTGAAGGTAAAATAATGGAGAAAATTATTATAACATCACATATTTAATCAAAGTATCAATGCCATACGTCGTGACTTATTGTTAGCCTTCACAACATAGCCAAACGTGTGATATTCATATTTTTCTTAATCATTTTAGCTTTAGAGTTTATTTATTCCATTTTTATCAAACATGGGGTAGTCCACTGTCGCTCTTTAATTGAGTTAATTAAGGCAGTCTAGTTTAACATGCGATGCAGAGCATTTTTTAATGATGAAATGAAATCATTATTATATTCTACACCAATTGTAAAATTAGAGCAGTTGTTTATTACTAGAAATTATTCATTACGAGCAAGTAGAAATTTAAAATCAAATCTGAGTTCTTAATTATTAAATACTTCTGTGCTCCAATGGAGGTATCGACTCCAAACAATATAATCTAATAAAATGTTACTAACTTTAAACAATAAAATCTGTTTTCTTAAATTTATTTTACACCGAATTTCGCTCTAATACTGCTGAGTATACAAAAATCAAAGACACATGAATATTTTTATTTATACAATTTTGATAAAAGATTATCCGTTTAACATATCTGCTCATAAAGTGAGAATACAGCTTCATCTGAAATTTTTGATCTTCACTACAGAGCATTTTACTAGCATGATAAATACGAATTCATCATTGTAATATATGTAAACTATGTCAGATTCCTTTTCCTGTCCTCACGCAAGTAAAGTGTTTTATAGTCTTCAGGGTTAACCCTTTCGTGCTCAGAGTGAGATATACTCTTCTACTTATTTCTTGTCGTGAATCATATTTAGCAAATGATATCCCTTGCAAATGTATGTCCCTCTAAATGTACATAATTCTTGTACATTTTTTTTAGCTTAAAAATATACGCAATAATTACATACAATTTAAAATTAATTTGACGGAAGAATCATAAATCATTTCATATATCTTCACATAATGTCTGATTAAACAATAATTTTTACGCGTACCAACTCTCTTTTTGTTTCTAGTTACACACATGGTGCGTTATTAAAATATTAGATGTAATTTTAATATTCAAAGTTAAATATTTTTAATGATACGTTTATCTTTATTAATAATTTATTATTGTTTTTGATGTATTTTCCGATACAAGTTTTCTTATAATTTTGTTACAAGAAATTATCAGATAAGCTATTGAGAAACAGATTAAAGTATCATACAGAAATTATCATATTAATTGACTAATATGTCATTCATTCAAGTGACATCAGTTAATTCCGGTAGGCAATTTATCTCTTGAGTTATCTTTGTAGTGGTATTTATTCTGTGACTGTTCTTAAGTTATAAAGAGTCTTATATATTGAAGAAGAAGAAATTTTATATTAACTTTTATATAAAATGTGCATAATGTGAGATGACACCAATTTTTCGACATTTCCTGCTCCGATTGATCGAAATTTTATGATAATGAAACAGGTCCACGTACTAAAAAAAGAACATTTTGCCATACATATCCCGTTTTCTTGCGATTTTATTGAAACGGTCACCTCACATGTAATCCACTGTGTGATTTAACGTTATATTACACGTTTGTACCGTAAGCGGTGACGTCAGTAGTGCCCGTCAGGCAGTACTGATCGCGTAAGTATATGATTTACGAAAAGTATAACGTTACTCACGATACTCACAGCATCTACTTTTATGCGTTATTTTCCCGCGTAATTCAGCGCCTCGATAATGATATTATGTTTAATGAGACGACCTGGTGAGTGATTTACTGTAATTCACTCGTATTCAGTTCGTTACATATCGTGTATCATGAGTATTTACAGATTTATATTACGTAATGAAAGTGTAAACATAACATTATTCGTATTCTAAAGTACGACACGCGTACAACTCATTTTGCACAAATATGCTAAATTTTGACGATTTTAATGCATATATTGCGAAAAATGATATTTAGTGAAATATAACATTGACAGCATTATTCATTTTAATAACATTGATAATAATAGCGATGATAATAATCACAATGTACTAATAGGAATCATGATACTTAATACAATTATTAGAATTAATTATTTAAAAAAATATTACGAATACTATAAAATGACACCAAGTAGAAAGTTTTTTATTTGTCTTATTTTTATTAGTTTACAGTGTTAAAAATATGCAGTAAACATTGTACATAATGATACTTGTTATCAACAGCACGATGTCTGTTTATAGAAAAGGTGAATGTTATTTTTTAAATGAATCACATAATGTACGAAGTGTATGATATGAAATACATAAATTGCAAAATTTTTTTATGGAAAATCGAGTTGGAAACAAAAGCTTTTAATAAATGTTACTTTATGGAGCGTACTGTAACAGTGATAACGATCATTGCAACGTTAGTACTAAACGGTACTTGACTCCATGATAATTAATCCATTTTTTTTTTTTTTTCGAAACTGGAGCAGACCTTTTCCCGGGCTTTGCTCACGTTTGATGGGGAGGGGGGGGGGGGACGGCTTCAGAGGGCGCGTTCTAATGAACTTCATCTAGATAGCGCGCGCTCGATTCTTTTTCGCCTCGTCACGCGATCGATCGTTCGCTCCTTCGCGTTCGACATTCAATAATAACCGGGAGCCGCTCTCGGGAGATCATTCGGCGCTTTCGATGCGGGAGGTCCGCGACTTCGTTCGACTCGTCCACGTCCGTGATGATGAAATATCGTATTATCGACGTATTTTCATCGCCACGTTCTTCAATGAACTTCCTCTTGCGCCGCAGGAATTCACGGGATGGGAATAGAATTAGTATTCTCGAAAATTGATCGTTTTTACAGATAATGTACGCAGGATAGGTATATAAAAAAATGCTCACTTTTTAGTACTCGTTAGATATCGGTAGTTATTTTTACAAAAAATGACTTCTTGGGTTCTTGGGTTTACAACTTTCCTTTCTACATGAAGCGCGGTTTCATTTTAAACCTATTTATCTACCTTCTTGGTGATGAAGCTCACCTGTAAGAATTTTAATGCGTCGTCTACAATGGGCAGTAGCAGTACAGTGGCAAGGCTGTAAGACACATCGGGAGTAAGCTGATTTTCCGGTATAACAAGACACAGAGTAAGTCCGTAAGCAATAAAGAAGTAGAACGTAAGAAATGGATTTCAACCATTCACACTTACGTATTTACTTTACCCTATTATACTGAAAAACTAGCTTACTTTCAACGTGTCTTACAGCCTTACCACCACCACCACTACTAATCATTGTAGATGATCCTTTGGACTCTACACATTTACGAGGACGTAGTTTTTTGAATTATGCCTGGAAGAAGAAAGAAAATCAATATTGAATTAGTCGAAAAATGATGAGTGAAATGTAATGAAAATTCGATAGATCAATAACAACTCTTGTGTAGATTTTCTGTACAGATTTATTATAGATTCAGATCGTTTTCTCTCGTAAGACTGTGATTACATATGAAGTTATATCACGGTAGCACGATAAATTCGTGTGAATGTGGAGAGATCCCTCAATTATCCAGCCTTCTGGATCTCTTAAAAAACGTGTAAAAACGGAACTGCTTCCTTTTTTCTCTTATTCCCGTGTCTTCGTTTTGGCGCTTTCGCTGGAGTTAATCGACGCTGCGAAAGAGTTCGTTGCCGACTACTGGCGACTTTAAAATACGGCCGGCTTTCGTGGCTCTGACCATTAACAGGCGGCACGGTTAACCTCAGAAAGTCTACAGGTCGGCCTTCCGCCGGCCTTCCGCGGGCAATTTCATTCCGGTATATGATGAGGAAGGATGGCAAAGAGAAACGAGGTCGACCGTTCGTTCTTTTTCTCCGTACCTTTTCCGGTCCCCGACTCGAAAAGAAGCGATCTTGCAATGTCGTTATCAGAGGCGCGGATAATGACTCTTCGATTGTCTTCTCCTCCTGTCCTAACATGATTACTTTAGAATAATAATATGATTTTTAATCTATCGTCAGCCTTTAATCTATTACCATCAGTAGTTTTATTTTCACTTATTTATTTATTTAAATTTTATTACGTTATTCTTTAATGATGTGAGATATACACTGAGTGAGAGAAAAATGTCCAAATACTGTGAAACAAATGTTACTCACGATGTTTTCTGCGATATTGATATTAGTTAGGAAAAAATTTAATTGTGATGACGAAATATACATTTCTATAAAATATATATATCTTATTAATTATAAAAAAAGAAAATAGGCGGCTTATTTACTAACAAATAAAAATTATTAATTTTATTGAAATAAATATAGGTATTTCTTATAATAAATTTTTAGTTATTTTTTTCTTTATAGGAAAAGTTTATAGCTTATTTATTTGTAACGATCTTTTCTTCGTTCCTATAAAAAATAATCTTCCACTATTTTTTTGCTTAGAAATATGCTATCCCACAGGGATAATCCACACAGATATTTAACTTTAGCAAACATACTCGCGTTCGTCTGTGGACGCTCATAGACATGTACATACTATACATCTTTTATATTTTGTTTTGTAAATAATAATGCAATGAGTAGTTGAAGAAAAATGCGAAGAATAATCCGATTTGATAAGAATAATAAAAATAAATCGAAATATTTTAGATGTATATGTATTATACTATATTT